TGATTTATTTAGGCTGATTTGAGTTGCTTAAATATGAGCAATTTTTTTTTGTTTAGGAGGTGAGGTGGGGAGAGAAGGTAGCAGGGGAGGGGGGGGAGGAGAAGGATTAAGAAGTGTGAAAGAATAGAGTGATGCCTAAAACAGTTTCAGTTTTTGGAACTGATAAACTTGGGAAAAACTTCTGAACGATTAAGATGATAACAGTTAACAAATAGTTTATAGGAGAGTTATTATTTTGCACATTCTGTTGTTATATTTATCAATTTGTTGAACTTTTATTTGGTTTTTTTTTTGTTTTTAATATAACTTAAAATTATCTTATTCTATTGCTCTCACTGCTGCTAAAATCTGTTTTTTCCTTTTTTTTTTTTCTTGATTTAGTTTACTTTTTGAATCTATCTTTTATCTTTGTATTTTGATTTCTGCTTCATGTTTAGCAACAAAAAGAAGAAAAAAAAAACCTATATAGAATAAAGCTCAAAATACAAATTATTCTTTTTTTTCACACACACACAGACACACATAAAAAAAATAATAGACAGAAGACAAACTTAAGTTAATTTATGTTTTATTTTAGAATTTTTTTTCAAAAATGAAATTTGATAGCCCTTTTTTTTGTTTTTTTTTACAGTGCTATTTCTGAAAACCAAAATGAAACAATGCTTTATTCTTGTTGATATATTGTTTATAAATTTTTTAGACATAGAATAAAACTGTTGATTTTTTTTTTCTTTTTTTTGCTTAATAACAATGATAAGAGTTTTTTTTTTGTGAGACGGGGGAATAGGGGGACAAAAAAAAAGAAGGAGAGGTGAAAAAAAATGAAAGAAGTTTCTTGTTGTTGTTGTTGTTGTTGACGAGGACGATGTTAGATAAGTGAAAAAAAGTGAAAACTAAAAAAAAAAAGAAGCAAGAAAAGAAAAGAAAATTTGGAGAACAATCGTTAATCCTGTAAAACAGTCCTGATCTGTTTAAGAAGAAATTTCTGGAATTTCTAAAAATTATCTGTTTTGCAAAAGATTATCTACGTGATATTTGTTTAAATTTAGAAAAAAAAAAAAAAAAAAAAAAAAAAAAAAA